AGGGGGAGATTCATCCTCGTCGCCACTCGAAGATTCGACCGTTAATGCAGGTCGCTTCTTAGGCGCAGGTTCCTGAAAGGCCCAAATGGAGTTGATTTAAAATGCAACATCGAAAACTAGGATGTTTAAAACCAAAGCAGGAGACAAGAGAGATTTTTGTTACCTGTGCTGGAGGTTTTGTAGAGGGACCTCCACCCTGATGGTTGTCTGTGGCCTTCTTAGCCACAGGTTTTCGAACAACTGAAAGAAGACACGTTCACAAGTTATATTTGGCAGATATAAGTTGAAATGAAAAGGCAAGTATAATTTGAAGAGGGAACGTACATTTCTTTATTTTGTCGAGAACTAAGACGAAGGACTTCTGGAGTTCGTCTGCAAAATCTTTTTCGTCGAAGAACTCTTCGACGTAATATCTCTTCCACCAGTCTTCAAAAGATGGTGAGCAGAGGAAGTTGAGTTGGTAGTCGAACAATGATAGTATGATCCGACCAACGTACCTACTAATATGCTTAGTAGCAGCATCCTCAGAGTAGTCATTACAAAAGTACAACAACAATTTCTCCCGAGGATAAATTGGAGAAGGAAGCGATTGGATGATGCCAAACTGTCGAGAGACAAGATTCGGCTGGTAAGAAATCAGGCTCAGCTGATTCTTTAAACTCTTGAAACGCAATGGCATTATCCTTGGGGTAAGAAACGCTTCCCACATCGTTGTGTGCTCTTCAAGGTGAGGATCCTCTGATGATTTAGGATGGGGCCTGGTGAACCACCCTGGGCCAAACTTTCGACCAGCGAAAGGGGCCATGGTCGAGTTAAATTCCTTCCTCCCTGCAAACATCTGAACGAAGTTTGCAAAGGTCTTTTGTAGCTCCAGCCCATCTTCAGTAGGAGTTAATAAGGCAAGCCTGGTGCCTTCGGCGCGCCTTCTGGCTATCTCAGGAGCCTTTTCATTTATTTGAGTCTTCTGGGGTAGAAATGACTCAAAAGTGGCGTTTAGCCAGAGTTGAAGTAGCCAGAAGGGACCAGCAAGTAGCAAGCTGGCTCGATTTTCGATTACTTTCAATTGAGCCGCTCCACTGCTTACTGACTCATACAAATTCGCCAGTATTAATTCGGCCAAACAGATGTTTTGGCCGTGATGAAGCTGAGTAGCAAGGGTGACCATTTTCTTCGTCACCTGTAGGGATTTCATGCAGAACACGAAGCGTGACAGCCAAAGGGCTAGAAACGCAATGTGCTCCACATCAGTTACCACAGTCGTCGATTTGTCATGGTAGTGGTTGGTGTAGGTGGTATAAGTGGGTTTGGTAGCTGAAAACCCAATCTGGTCTTCAGATATTTCCTCTGGGTCGAAGTAATCCCTAGTTGGTTGAAGACCAATAATAGCAGCCACGTCGAAGAGAGTGGGTGTTACCATTCCACAAGGCAGGTGGAAGGTGTAGTGAGTATAGTCCCAAAATAGCAAAGAAGCTACCAGCATTTCAGGATAATAGTTGAGACCAGTTTTGGACAGCATGACTAGGTCATAAATCCCCATGCCTTTCCAAATAGAAGCTTGGCACTTCTCCATCTTGTTGAGCCAAGCGTTGTATTCTGGTGTAAGGTTAGGGCTAGACCTAAAAGCCCTAACCCCCCTGTTGAAGAACCGAAGATCTATTTTTTCTTTTGCAGGATCTTCGGTATCGTATGTCGCCTTCTTGGAGCACCCAATGGGCTTGAGTGCCTCATGCACGAGGAAGAAACCCTCGATTTTCGTTGGGTCAGCAATGCATGTAGATAGAGGACCGGACATGGCAAAAACCTGGTTGGAATATCCAACAGGAATCAGCAGTTGAGAAGAATAAGTTTCACGCTCAGCATCTCCCATGGGTTCAGGAACCCTTCGCATTCCCATGGAGTTAACTATCAGAGCGGTTGAGAAGATTTCCGGTTGAGTAGTTTGAGAGGGAGTGCTAGATCTGGGGACATTGGAAGCACGAGAACGTGAAGCCATTTTTTGGTTTGAGATGAAGATGGATGAAGAACAAAGATTTCTGGGTTTGGAGAGGAAGAAGCAAAGGTTTGCTTGCGGAAAAGTTTGTTCGACTGAAGGTTGGATGAAAGAAAGTGTAAAGAGTCCAACAAGAGGCACTTAGTGCTATTTATAGTGATTGAAAAATCACAAGACTCGAGGTCATTTAATGTCTCAGACAAGAGTGGGGCATGTGGCACTCATCTGGTGATGTAACCGTTCTGAAGAACGGAAACGCTGCAACGTGCATCCTTGATTTCGGGAAATAGTCATGATGACAGCATTTGAATGGACACCGTGCGTGCTAAATGCCTTACTGAAGTGACGTCTTGGGAAAAGTTGAAATGATGGCTTTTTGGGATTGTCAGTTGGTTGGTAGAAGACGAAAAGCACACAAACTAATTTGTGGCTGAGAATAAAGGACAGGTGTCGAATGGAATATCAAAGAATGCCTTTTTCTTTAAGTGTCGAAATAAGACATTCTTGGGGGGCAATTTGTTAGCTCCTAAATTCGACACCCATGTTTATTATCATATAGACCATTAATTTTGAGTCAGAAGAGTTTCCTACATAAGAAGGCTTCGACCAACTGATCATGTCGAAGGCTCATCCAAGAATGACAAGATACTTAGAGAAATTCCTTTAAGATAGAATCTTGTTGTCTTCGACGTCTAAGTAACTTCTCGACAAGGGTCCCTGACGCCCAAGGTCGAACGGTTTGAGATTTGAATTGTTGGAGGGAAAACGGTTCCCAGCAGTTACCAAGTGCAACGTGTCGAGAACAGAAGCGTCGAAGGCTGTGAGCGTGCCATGTGGCGTCATCTCGAAGCAGTGTAACTGTCCAACGGTTACTTAGGATTTGTTTTAGTATAAATACTAAGTGTTCACGTAGTTTTCGTGTGTGTTCATCATTTTATACAAGTCACTCATTTAGATTCAAGTACCCAGCGTGAGAGAAAGAATCATTGAGAATGTATGTGTGAAACACCATTTAAATTAATCAAGTCTTTTATATTCAAGCAATTTATCGCTTTTCATTTACTTATCTCCGTCGAAGCCTTTTACTTAACGCTTTTATTTATTCTATCAAGCTTTTCTTCATGCAATTTACTTAAAGTGTCTTTACTTTACTGGCATTAATCACCATTAGGATTAGTCAAACTCCAGAAAATCAACCATGTCTTAGGATTAATCTGATCGATCCTGCTAGTCACCAAATAAGTAACCTTTTGGAAGATCAGCGGTTGTTTACCATTTTTCAGAGTAAAGAACGGTGCAAACATGGCCAAACACGATTCAGCCGTTATGGAGGCTATGCGATGGGTCTAATCTGCACATTGATATCTCAGAAGCAAGTTAGTACTGGTAGTATGCATTGAAACACAAAGAAAAATAATAATTTCATGCAAGAATGACAAAACTTTGATGCATGACTGTGCGTTTCAGGTCCTTTGGCTCCTCAAGATTGATCCATTCTTACCCCGCAATACTTCAGAGATCGTTTGAAAGGGTTGGCTTGCTTGGAAAGAGGCTGTAACTAGGGTTTTTGATTTGCCCTAGTTTTATTTTTTGCAATTTTGAAAAGGTGATCTTTTGCAAAGTTTTTGTGGCATTCTTGTCTGAAATAATTAAGGTGATCTTGGATTTTTTGGAAAGCTCAAGATGTCCCCTACAATCTCTATGTTGATCATTTTTTCATTTGAAGATTTTATCTTGATGTAAGTTGTCTTGACAAAAAGTGTCTTTTTGTTGACTTTTGAAATGACCTATAATGTTTAGGCTCATATCTCTCAAATGAAGCATTTTTTAAACTTGAACTTAGAGAGATAGATTTTTAGAGAATTGAATTTCCTTCAAAATGAGTTTTGGTTGAGAAAAAACTGATGAAGTATGTGAAAGTTATGCTTGGTCAAAGTTCAGTTGATTTCTCTTTAAGAAAACCCTAATTTGATAACTTTTGACTTTTGATGAATCTTGAATTTTCTTGATGAATCATGATCAACCCTTGATCAAATGATAAATGTAACTTCAAAATCTTGATGTTGACCAAAAATCTTGATGTTTGACTGTATGTTGACCACAATTGACTTTTTGTCCAATACAGTTAATTTTCAGTCATCTGGGCAATTGACTGAGCAAACTTGTGATGCAAGACTTGAAACTTGGCATGAATATTCTTAGAGACATATGAGAAACCATAAAGTCTACTTGAGGCGTCAGAAATTCAATAAACAAAACCCTAATTGTAGGCCAATTGCTTATGAGGAGAATTTATCTGATCAATTCTTGAACAACCTTGAGTAATTGAAAATCTTAGAAGAATAAAGAGATATTTTGAAAAAAAATGAGAGGACAAATTTTAAGATACTACACTATCTACTGAAATAAAGCTAGCTTATGGACAAGTAACTTTATTCAGAAAGGATAGATAGCTATGTATATATTGGATCAGTCAGTCATGTAATAAGTGCTATTTGTGCTTGCATATTGCAATAATATTCTTAAACAGCACAAATGAATAACAACAAACTAATCATTGTCTGGCAAATTGCTTACACAGTATTGATAGCCTTGTTTTGCTATAAAGAATAGGGTAAAAGTGGATTATCTACAATAATTTGGCGATTGAATATCTACCGCATCTAAATCTTTAGCATATTGGTCTCGTGAGTCGTGAGTATGATAGAGATTTCAACAACCAACCTAGCCCTCAATCTTTTCCAAAAAAATTGTTATAGCTTCTGTAACTTATGTCAACCCATCTTTACAGTAAGCTCCAGCCACGTCATGCTTATGCTTATCTGCAAAGTTCACAACATAGATATCAAATTCAAACAGTGAAATCAAAACCTAACAATAAGCTGAAAATATCTTATCATGCAAAAACATAGCTTTTTCTTGTTTAATGGCATCAAGCAAGATATGTCAACATAAATAATTACCTATTACTGTGCAAAAATGCTGCAGCGCACGTATTCTAACACCATCATCATTGTCCAAACTGCAGTTGTTCAGAATAACCAATAACCCTCCTAAGTAGAGGAATAAGGCCAATCAAAGCAATTTGAAGTTGTTCTGAACTATTTAATCGGATGCTTATTTGTCCAGCCCCACGATTGTTCAAATTGCCTCGCACAACAAGGTTTGTATACCGTCCAATGGGAGTCTGTGACTGTAAATTGCACCCAACAGCCAGATCTCCATGCCAGTCCATGACGGAGAGCCCAAGTGTTGATAACGACCGTCCTAGAGGATGATTTTTATCTCTCAACTGGGCCTCCAAACTGCCACCATACGCAACATCATCACGCCCAGTCATTGCACCACCAGCAATAACCAACTGGAATCGCTTATTAGCAATCAACTTATCTTCGACTTTGATTCCAGCTGACAAGGAATCGCCCAAGAGAGTAAATGAGAGACCAGCAGTTCCCTTATTTCTCCTAAATTTACAAAATTTTGTCTCGCTACGTAACGTATAAGCTAAGTCTTTCCCAACAGTCTGCATATCAAAACCTAACGATGTTGCTTTCCCTTCTCCGTACTTAACTGAACTTGCCATTTCCATCTGAACACTAGCATCCTTTTTATCCTTGGTGACCTGACCACTAAAAGAGAAGGGTATCTTGTCTTTAAGAACAAACAGTCTTTCTACATTTAAGCCTTCATAACCCACATCATGATCCCATCCATGAGTTTCGAGGACAGGTCTTACAAGCCACTGGTTGGATGAATCAAGAAAACGATACCGGTGAGTGGGAGTATCAGAGTCAAATGAAGCAGGCAAGGACATATCTGGCATGGGAACAGGAACAGAAGCTGCACCACCACTTTCTTCCTCCAAATTTTGATCATAATCATTTGGCAGGTCTTTCGCTGATTCGGCCATTTCCTTCATCATCTTCCGTTGCTTTTTTTCATACTTCAATTGTTTCTTCATGAAGAGTTTTTCTCGATACTCAACCTCGTCCAGATATGCTTTCTTCTGAGCTCTAGAAAGGCTTCTGATCTGGGCTTTTGTCAAAGGTTTAAATGGTGGCAAGTCATCAGGGTCTGTTTCATCACCAGAATCTGATGGCTCATCAAGATCGTCATCGAGATTGTCCTCATCACTAAATTGCTCCTCTGGCAACTTTAATTGTGGTCTTGACTGCAGAAGGGATGACAGAAGATATGGTAATGGTTGCATTCTTGCACGAGCTGTGTAAGGTTTTTCAGGTGTACTGTCTTGTAACTTAAGAAGAGCATTTGCTTCAGCCAGAATTTTTGACGCAAACGATAAGAGCAACAGATGAGGTTTCCAAACCTGGCCATTTGGCAACACTCTTTGGCCGGCTGTATTAGTTCTGCATGCAGAGTGGTTCTCCACCAATGATATAGGATTCATGAGACGCATATCGCCAGCTGCTTGTCGAATGGCTTGCTGCACAATATGAGAGCGCTGTGTGACAAACATGTCATAACTGGAAGGAGTACCATTAGGGCCTTCCGGTGGGGCAGATGCTGCATGAGTCAAACCCACGATAGCATTGAACCATATGGATGGTCCAAAAATGTCGGTTATTGTGCGTAAGAGTGGCATGTCACTAAGGTCTCGGCTCGGCATATCTAACCTATCAAGATACAGCACAATATCAGGTGGAGTTTTCTTAATAAAGCGCTTGACAGAGAGGAGGATCTTCTCATTATATCGCTGGTCTGACCAAGAAGGTAGAAGTCCTGGCGTATCAATGACCCGCACTTTAATGCCCTGTACTGTTCCTACAACATCCTGAACCTTTTTTGTTCCCGTACGAAAAGCATCAGTATTAAATTTAACCTCATCAAAGATAGAATTGATAGTCGCACTTTTTCCAACTCCTGTCTTTCCAAGAACCATTATTGTACAAGAGAAATCAAGTGGTTCTTGACCAACTGATTCAAGTTGCTCGGCCATTGCACTTGCACGATCAAAGCTAAAAGCGCCAACACGGCCCCCATTCCTCCCTCTGAGTTGTTCGGCCAGTCCTAATCTATATAGAACTTGTGCTACAACAACATTGTGGGGTGTCTGCCCAAGCCTATTAGCTAGCCGCAAAAACTTCACCCTAATCATTTGAAGTTTTTCTCGAGTCTCGTCATACTCCTCAGCCTCCCCAATTGAGGAGTCTTCCAATTTTCGGGGTTGTGTATTAGATACCATATAGTTCACCCGCGGCTCCTGCACCACCCGGGCAGCAGGTTCCAATAGCGGAGCTGCAGATCCAAGGCCAGCAGGACGGACAAGCGGGGTGCTAGCTGCAACAGATTTTCCAGATGAGGAAACAGGCTCACGTTTCTGTTCTTCAGCAATCTGTTTGGTTTCCTTGTTCTCTGCATTATTCTCTGGTATCTTTTTAGGTTCTCCAACAGAAGATAAGTTTTCATAATTTCCTTGGTTTTCTTCATTAGAACTTTTAGACGGGTAATCCTTGACACTTTGTTCGTCAAATACAGATGCAGTAGACTGAACCATCTCATTGACAAAAGGATTTCCTGATAGAGATGATCTTCCAGTAGTTTCAACCACTGTTCTCTCGACAGCCGGAGAAGATCCTCCTATTTCACCAACTGTTTCCTGATGCCCTGAATCTGTTTCAGTGTTAGCATCCTTATCTTCATCGTTACTATAATCTTTGCATTCAATACTTTGACAACCAGATATTCCAATTTCTTCGCCATTTTTATCCTCATGGACTACACCAGTGCCAATGGTTTCACCCTCCACTTCAATAAATGTTTTATCGAGAAGCTCTAAACCAGCGTGAGCTGAACTAATATGCACTTTATCATCTTGGATTTCACTATAAGGAGCACCGGAAGCATTACATTGTTCCTTTATTATTTTATCATCCCTGAGTTCAGTATTCAAGCCACCATCTCTCATGCTCTTATTGGATCCAGAATATGTATGAAACCCATCGACATCATAATCCACCTTATTTTGAAAAAGCATACCACCATTTTGTTTGGGAGTGACGTATTCAAGATCCTCATTTTCAAACCTCTCACTCAACAAACCAGAGAATCCATTCTCCACTTCAACTTCCTCTTCATCCTCCAACACTTGAACACACTCATCAGCAACCCCAATTGCCTCTAGAAAAATATCAAGTTCTTCCGCATCATCATGAATTCCTTCAACCGAATCCGAAGGCAATACACTAACAGTAGCACCAACAGCATCATCATGGAAAACCTCATAAGACCCTCCTATATTCTCATTGGACACCCCACCATTATCCATCACAAATCTCCAAGTCGTTATAAAATCCTAAATTTAAGCGATTATCTATTAGGGTTTATATGATAGATGAAAAAAACTGAACTTTAAAAAGAATGAATTAAATTCATACAATAAAAATAATAACAAGATTGCAAACCTGTTTATGCCCAGAAGAACAAAGATTGAATTGAAGAGTGTAACTGTTTCTGTCTCTGTTTTACTTCGTTTGAGTACTTGAGCAAGTGAATTCAGGATAAGGGGTAAGAAAGATCAACGGATAGGTTTGACTCAAGAGTTTAGATCGACGGTAGAAATGGTTGCATATACATCATCGACAATAGACGTGTTTTTTGAGACGGGGTGTGTTGAATTTTGAATATAGTAGAAAAAGTGTTGGATTTGATTTGACTGCAAGTTGATTGGAGAGTAAATAATTGCCCCGCCCAAATATTAATAATTTAATTCACACTTAAGTTCTTGGAATTTAATAGGTGGAGTGTTCCCCGTGACAATTTCTAATAATTATCATCATACATTTAATAATTCTTAGTCCAATAATTAGAATTGACTCAATCCGCTTCTATCTTTAGCATGACCTAACAACATTGATTCAGTATTTTTAGTTGACTGAGTCTTGACAATTACTTATTTTTGCGGACCCGCATATCTAAATCTAAAAATAGGGACTAATGGCCAACCGCCGGTGACATTATAACATGATAAATGTATGTTTTGTGCAATGGTGGAATAATTTATTTTGATGGATTATTGTGATATACAGTATGATTAAGGTTTGGTGATAATCTTAATTTGCATATATTTGGTTATGTTTGCACATACATGCATGAGGAGATTGAACTCGGGTTAGTTGCTTTGATCCTTGTGTGGAAACAGAAGCGGTGGACTATATGTTTATATTGATGGGCTTTGATCTTGTTCGAATCGGAAGCGTGACTCTGATTCTAGATATGGAATTGAGAGCGAGGTGAGCTAGATGTTCACGTTGGTACCACATGCATGAGTCGCATCGAGTTGCATTGGAGTCACATATGTCGATGTGAATGTTGTCTTTGGAATGTGAAATATGATAGTTAAATTTAACTGATACATTTTTTGTGGTGATTGTGACTGATTTCATTTGAAATATGAATCGATGAGCTATGTTGTATATGTGAACATGTATGTTGGATTATATTATGTCAAATATATGATAATGTGAAGTGTGGTGAATTCAGTTGTTGTTTGTATGTTATACATTACTTATTGTTATACTTTTCTATAATGATTGTGAATTCTCACCCTTCTGTTGGAATGGTGTTCTATGCGACATCACGCATGTACCGAAGATAGTGGTGCTTCACACGAGGATAGTTGAGGAGCTTAGCTTGATTTTATCCACTTGTTTATATAGTGAGTCAATGCTCTTGTCATGTAACACTGGAGAAATATTTTGAACTCATGTTTTGTTATGAAGAGATGTTGTTATATTCTCTTATTTGGTTTGTATTTTGAGATGACATGTTGAGTGGCATTAATGCCTAATATTTTGGATTCATATGATTTGTTATGTTGGCTTATCATTATAGTATGGAATATAATTATTATTATTATTTGAATAAAGAATTATTTCACTGTGATATACATAGTTTGATAAAACATGAAGTTTAAATATGTGTTATGATTATGATCAGGTGTATTTTTGTGTTGTTTTGTTGGTTTTTGTAAACACATGTGACAACCTTTTGATGTTGCACAAGCTATCTTACTCTGATTATGTTTTTAATTACTCGGGGTTAGAAAAAGGTGTTGGTATTAGAGTAGGTCAGTTCATTTGGCCATATTGTCTAATATTGTTTGTTCCTTAATACACGACACGTGTGTGAAACACTGTCGATACTTACTTGTTTTTCTAGCTACTTGGTTGCGGGAGTGGGTTTAAAATAAGTGGGGGAGAAGCTTTGCTTCTCTGAGATGTTTATGGTGTGAAGAATTGGACCATAGTGCTTTAGGTGACTTTGAGCACAAGATAAACGCTATTATAGTTTGGTAATGATAGTTTATACTTTATTATAATTATCGGGTATCTATTGACAAATTGAGGAACTAATCACTCTTAATCTATTATTGATAGTAGACAGGATCGTATTTGATGGGATAAGCTTGTCTTTTCAGCTTGATAGTATGTAAATTGAATGAGTCTGTACAAGATGGTGCTATATTATTTACTTTGTTGGCAATGTTGCATCTCAGCGAGAAGCGAACTATGGGTGAGTTACCTGTTGTCTGTGATTTTCCTGAGGTGTTTCCTGAAGATGTAAGTGATTTTCTGCCAGAGCGTGAGGTGGAGTTTATGATCGATTTAATTCCTGGAACTAGTCATGTTTCGATGGCTCCATATCGGATGTCAGCTTCTGAGTTGAAAGAGTTGAAGAGTCAACTTGAAGATTTACTTGAGAAGAAGTTTATTCATCCGAGTGTGTCGCCGTGGGGTGCACCTATTTTGTTGGTTAAGAGAAAGAAGGTTCTATGAAGTTGTGTGTTGATTATAGACAACTGAACAAGGTGACTATTAAGAATAATTATCCACTTTCGAGGATTGATAATTTGATGGATCAGTTTGTTGGTGCATGTGTGTTCAGTAAGATTGATTTGAGGTCTGGGTATCAACAGATTCGTATGAAGGCTGAAGATATTTAGAAGACTGCTTTTAGAATGAGGTATGGTCATTATGAGTATTCTGTAATTCCGTTTGGTGTGACCAATGCACCTGTGTATTTATGGAATATATGAACATGATTTTTCATGAGTATCTGGATCAGTTTATTGTTGTGTTCATATATGACATTTTGATATATTCTAAGAGTGAAGAGGATCATGTTGAGCATTTGAAGATTGTGTTATCTGTGTTGAAGGAGAAGTAGTTGTGTGCTAAGCTTTCTAAGTGTGAGTTTTGGTTGAAGGAAGTGGGTTTCCTTGGACATGTGATTTCGAGTGGTGCTATTTCAGTTGATCCGACGAAGATTGAGGCTATATCTATATGGGAAGCTCATAAATCTGTTTATGAGATTAGAAGTTTTCTTGATTTGGCTGGTTATTATTGGAAGTTTATTGAAGGTTTTTCTAAGTTGGCATTACCTTTGACGCAATTGACTAGGAAGGGTCAAGCTTTTATTTGGACTTCGCAGTGTGAAGCTAATTTTCAAGAGCTTAAGAGAAGGTTGGAAATTGCTCCTATTTTGATTTTGCCTAATCTAGCAGAACCATTTGTGGTGTATTTTGATGCTTCATTGATGGGTTTAGGAGGTGTGTTGATGTATAATCGACAAGTGGTAATTTATGCTTCAAGGCAACTTAAAGTTCATGAGGGGAATTATCCGATGCATGATTTAGAGTTGGTTGCAGTTGTGTTTGTTTTGAAACTTTGGAGGTGTTGTGCCCCAAAATTTTCCCTCTCACTTATCAAACATTTTCTTACAAAGATCTCTCTTGGTTCAAGACTGCATTAAGTTTGATCAGCTCAAGACACCTCCTTAAGCACTGGTGACCAAAATTAGGGTTTGAGATTGCACAAGGATAATTGAACTTTCAATGCTTCATATGACTTTCATGGATCATTATGGACCCCCAAGATTACTCATGTCAAGTTTCAAGCCTTGGATCACACTTTTGCTCAGTCAATTGAGTAGTTGACCTAAAAATCAACTGTATTGGGAAAAAAGTCAACTATGGCCAATTTACAGTCAAACTTCATAATTTTTTATCCACATCAATATTATAAACTCATATGTATCATTTGATTAATTTGGACCATAATTCCTCAAGAAATTTGATCAAATCATCAAAAGGGCAAAATGGTCAAAATTAGGGTTTTGACTGAGAAAGGGCAATTTCTGATTTTTGACCTAGCAAATGGTCAATTGGTTTGAAGCATGGTTTCAAGAGTTCAATTTCATCTTTTTGAACTAATGGCATGACCTAAAACATTGCTCAAGATCAATTGGATTGATAGTGAATTCTCAGTCAACTGAGCAAAAGTCAAATGTACACTGAAAAGTCAAACTTTGACTTTTTGGTCAAAATTCAATGTCAAAGATCACAATTCATCAAAATATGTCAAAATATTCAACTTATTCATCAAGAAATCAAAAAGTCAAGATTTCATTTTGAAAAGTCAAAGTTTTCTAACTTAGAAATTTTTCTAAGTGTTTAAAACTTCATGTTTTTTCACAACTTTGAGTAAACTTTTCACCATGATGCAAGAGGATTCAAAAGAAACTTTAAACATGAAAGTTGTAGATCTCCATGATATATACAACATTTCTTTACACAACTTCTTCTAAAAATTCTTGGATCTCAAGTTATTAATTCATAAAGTTATGGTCTTGAAATTGAACACTTAGTGAAATTTTGCCCTAGTTTTGGTCAGGATTTTGACCTAACTTCATGGAACTTTTTCATATAGTTCCAAATGGAATTTTCAAAAGTTATTCAAAGAGGGGTTGTAGAGAACATTACAAGCTTTTCAAAATGTCCAAGAACTCCTTGAGATCATTTGTGAGCAAGGATAATCGAAGAGATGAAGTTAGGGTTTTCAAACTTAAATTACAAGCCATTTCATGATGAACAAAATTCAAATCCAAGCCTAGGCTGCATAATATTTGCTTTGCAGGCATCAAACTTGTTTATCACTCCATAATTAAATGTTTACACAGCTGATAGAACTTTAATCCAAGCACTTGAGCCTTTATCCAAGTTACATTTCCATTTATGGCATAAAGTTGTCATTTCCATTTTGATAAAGCACTACTTTTGCAATTGTCAACTTCTTGAGCTTTGCACTTGTTCTTTCTGCACACATAACCCATATAAACCAAAACCAATGTGTCTAAAGCCTCTTTGAGCTTAAAACATGCTTGTACAACACTTTGAGTTTTGTCCTCCCACTTTTCTTCAAAAGCAAGTCATAGAGCCAAAAGGATAGAACTCAGAAACCTTGAGTGCATTTGATCTCTAATCTTTTCCATACATATACACAAGTATATTGCAACATAACACACAAAGGCTAAGATCCCAAAACACTCCCAAGCACTCTGAAACTCAGAATCTGCCATAACTTGACAGTTTTGAACCTCACATAGCCATGTCCAAATCCACTCGTGTGTATTGAGTTTTAATCACCCAAACACTTAATATACATCATATCAAAGTGATCCAGGCCCCTGTTTCCTGACTGTAACTCCTCCATTGCTATCCACCATTTCCAAAACTGAAGCTTGCAACTTTACTTGAGTTGAGATTTTCAGCCATCCTCAAAGCAAAGTAGGAGTTGGAA